ATGGTGTAAGTTTGAGAACGGAGGGAGTGGAGAGCAAACAATTTTCGACTGATCTTGTTACCCATGCAGTCGCATTCTCATTAAGTCGATTATTAAAAAGGCTATACAAAGTCGTTTTGCGCTGTTTCCAGTTGCTTCTCCGTGTCATCCAGCCAAATGCGGGCTCAGGACAGCACAGAACGTCTTTGAAAGTTTGTCAACTGTCCCTATGCGACGGAAGACTTGGATGTTCCAGTATGGTTTACACAGTCGTAGTTTTCACAACCGACAGGACAACGAGCCTGTGGCTCAGTGATAAAGCGTTGGACTAAATGATTCTCAATTACAAAATGATCCGGGCTCGTATTCCAGATAATTCAGACCTAGGTTCGGTAATGGCTAGCTGACGACGGCTAATAAGCCAGAAGCATCCATCTGAGTTCCCCTTTTCTTTGTCGGTACTTCTTTTTGCATGATTTCTAAGTCTTGGGCCCCCCAATGTCGGTTCTGTCAGCAAATTTTACTTAGAACTTTAAAGTGTTACTAAGCACAGGGCCCTCACAGTGAAATACCCTGCTGACCGACTGCTGTTTATGCTTTTTTTCAGGTCTGGCGTCTGCGGAGGTCGGCCTGCTCGCATTCGGGATCATTTTCAATGCCCTGGCGTTGGCCATGGTGTGTCATTTGGCAGTCCTGTGGTGCAGGGCGCCCTACGACAGTGTCTTCATGCGAAACTTCCGCCTTGTTGTGGGCATCGTCTCAACAATTTGCAGTAATAACTACATCTACCTCACATGAATTCCCCTGCATAACTATACTGCCTTTGCAGCCTGCCCATATTTCATGATTCGCGGACTGGACTTCCTGAAATCGGCAGCGTTTCTCAAATGTAGGGACATTAGTCGTGCCAACCAAAAATATCCGATATCAATAGGTTCAAGGCTCTAACTTAGATGGAAAATGTGATACGTAGGTTTCGTGTGGTTGGTGTTCCGCAGTTGTCTCGGAAGATTGTGCGGCTACTAGCATTTATATATATATATATATTATAGGTATTATACAGTACTCCCGACCTAGATACTTGCTAAAAGCCCAGACACGTGTTTCGCCGATATTCTGCCGCTGCGTGGATATAGGCGAAAATGCTGACCCCAGGTGTTGGGCTTGGATAAGATGGTAAGTTGAGCTCTGGGGGTGATGATTTAGTCATCTGACGCTTACACTCATACTCGAGCGCATCATCGGAGATGGGAAATGTGAGAACGACACGGTTTAAACAGGTCACCTCTCACCAATCACCACTTACGCACCAGGGGAGGCCCAATGGGGATAGTAATTGATGGCCCTATCAGGGGTGAGCGAGAGGGGCCTTTTTAAACCGTGCAGTTCTCATATTTCCTATCTCCGGTGATGCGCTCGAGGATGAGTGTGAAACGTCAGATGAATAAATCAGCATCCCCAGATCTCACCTTACCATCTTCTTCAATATATACATATATATCAGATTTGAGACGGTGCGACTATAGGGGACACCGTCGCGTATTTCAACTAGATAATAGCATTGTAAAACCCCATCTCCTCTCAAATGCGCAGAAACATATTTCAGGAATCGAAGAAAGGAGAATTCATTCTTTGGAAAACCATCCTGTTTGACTACCAGCTCAACTTCGAGCGGCATTAAAGCCTTTGAACCAAACAGAAACGAAATTTGTACAGCTAGTTAATAGCTTTAAAATCTTATTAGGCGTAATATGTGGAATACTACGAACGTATTAAGTCTCAAGAGTTTAAATAAATACTTCAACGTATTGGCCTTGATGTAATAAAGCTTTTAATTCTGAATCTTCACATTCCACACGCATCTCCTGTGAACCAATGTCTCTCACTGACAAGGACAAAACTGAAAAACACTGTGTTTATTCACCGTACAGGATTCTGTGGCAAATTTGGAGGCCGCCACTACTAGAAGATATTTTGTTGTATACGAACTACATTCTTTAGCTATTTACTGAATCTAGCTACTACTTCCTGTGATGATGGTTTGGGGGATGAATCCGAAACGTTAGGCTAGTTAACTTGTGACCTCTTCTTACCAAGGCTACCTTACTTTTTTATAACTCCCGTCTTTATTGTTTTTACCAACGTAGAGTGACTCAGTGACGAGACTTTGTGGTTAGTTCATCCATTCGCTAGAAACTAGTTTCGCTCTTTCAGGGCTGAGATCATTATTTTTCGGAGTAAATTGTTTCCTAACTTTTTGAGAGCTTCGACTAGGGAATGACTGTCAAGTTCTCTATAACTTCTCGTGTTTTATTGTAGTCTTTGTGATGTACATTTTGTGATCAGTCTTATGCAGTGTTGACCGAAAGTCTCAAATAGGTTTTCGGTTAGGAAGGACTACTTAAGTTAAATCGTAATATTTATTATTGTGGGGCATGATCTCAAGAGATCTTCGTCATGTCGTGGCGTCCGCACATGAAGTTATTTATTTTCAACCTCCTAAAGAAACGGAACTCAGTAGAAATAACTGCCTTAGTAGTAAAAATTTTCCCATTGATTTTGAATTGTAAATCGAAATATATTTCATAGAAAACATGAAGAAATTATCTTTCTTGTTTTCGTCCAGGTTAAAACCACGCCTTGTTCAAATTTTGCACTCGACGAAATAATAAATCTACGTTTCAAACAATTTTTCAACTCCCGAATAATTAATAACCTTATCTAAAGTTGCATTTGCGTTCATGTTTATAATCTACGAGTTGTGATGAAAAACATACATACCTTTCTGTCCTTAAAAAGATGCCACATATGGCGCATAAAATTTTATGATGGATGTCGATTATCTTATATATTTCATAAGTGATACTAATAACGCACAGACACGGTAATATTTTTATGGATATTTCGCGATCTTGAAGAATTTCATAACAGCACACCTTTTTGAAATCGAGGGATGAACTTTCTTCGAGTGTAAAATCTGAAGGACATGGGGGTTTCTACTCAATGAGTACGAGGTAGAATGTTTTTGAACATGCTTTCTAAAAAATATATTTGAATTAATAAAGGCCCCCAAAACTCGATGGAAAAATTCATGCTAATCGGGTGATCAATCTTACCGAGTGCCGCTTATGCAGGCGGCCTAGAAGAAGGGTAGTCAAAACCCGACTGCATGATAATCAAAATTGCAAGCCCACTTAAGTAATCCTTCCTAATCGAAAACGCATTCCGTAATTTCGGTTAATATTTCCCGGGTTTAGTCACTAACTGTATACAAGCCGCAACACCTGTACACCATGCATGATAGACCCGAATACACTGAAGCCTTTCGAACTTTGATGCTTAAAAGCCCCTAGCCCTATATTGTGCAAGTTAGGTTTGGCAGGAGTTATAATGCGCCGACAATATTTGTCGTTATATATGTTTAAGTAAAAAAGTGAATATTATCATGTGAAACCCCATTAACAATTTGAATTGGAGGGATTCTGAGTTGCGCCACTCAAAACATGGATGTATGCTTGAACGCAAATTTATAGTCTAGGCGGAACTTGGCAGTATTTTCGCATTTTGATGGTCGTATGGAGCGAGAGGGACGTCTTTAGTAAGACTGCTGTGGCAAGTGATCGAACTTGTCCGGTTTTTGAAGTTGCTTTTAAAAGCCAAAAAACTGATCGGTGTGAACAGGAAGACAGAGTAATCCACGTATTGGGTCATAGTCGGTCACCCTGTTTTTACTTTGGATAGCTAGCCACAAAGATAAGGACGATAGTCAAGCAGAATAAGTGAACAAAGCCCAGCTACTAAGTCAAAAAAACGTGGTAAAACTTTGCTCAATAGCTGTGTCGGCTGACTCGTACACGGCGGGACATAGGAGTGTTCTAGCGAGGTCCCCAACACTCACTTACTGAGTCGATGTTTCAAAAAAGGACAATTAATCCCTCACCTATGGGAGGCATCATAGGAATATATATGTGTATATATAACAGTCTGCCTCTTGTATACGCTGTCCATCTAATTGAGGCAATAACCTTTCATATTGAGAATTTTTTTGTTAAAATGCGAACATTCGGTCAGAACACCACTAATAATAACTGCCACACGGTAAAAACCTGATTTGTCTACTTTCAGCAATACTATACCTGGCAACCATCGTTGTTTATCATCTGGAGCTCAACGTTGAAGTAAAACAAATCCCGCAGGTAAGTTGAAATACCCCAAAACCACGTATATGTTGGCAGCCGGGAAGAAACTGTCTAACCGGCGGCACCCACTTACTCCTTTTTAAGGAACCAATACACTTTTGGTCATCAGGAAGCATTATAATGACCCAACTTGTGTGGATGCTGTTAAGATTACCTTCCACTCATTAGGAGTAGGCTTAAATAAGACGACTTTTCGGGTGTTCAGCCTTCATAATACTAACTGAGGTCAATTATAGATAACGTTGCTTAGTGTGAGTTTTGACTACTTCATACACGAAGTACGAGAATAGAGACACTGAATTAAGGGGGAGGCATAGCTTACAGTTTAATCCCGGACCCCAATTTGATTACTTTTCCTTCACTTTTCGACAGTAGTATGATGATAAAAGTACATCTTTGGAGGAAGCTCGCGAATTAAATGTTTCGGTGAGAAGTTGTACGAGTTTCTATGCCAGCATTCAATTGATCAAAGTGACGCGCATGTCATTTTATGAGTATAAATGCTCTCATTCGTTAAAGATGAAAGTTTACACAAAAAGACCGATTTTATTATCTACTCGTGGACCTTATCTATCAATCAGTGTTTAAATTTAAGTCAGGAAAACCCCTAAGACCCTTAAGGCTTCCATAATGAGATGTTCAAGAAAAAAAAACAATTTTTTACGCGAAGAACGTTCACCTATCAGGTTACAGGACACGATCTCTCGGCTGTGGCTTTGGGCCCAATCTAGAGTCTACGCAGGCAGCTATATAGCGAACAGGAACGATGCAGGATGGATTGGCAACAAAGAAAAAGGGAGACCGGAGTGTCCGTTTCGGGCTTGCCAACCGTCGTCCGCCAGCTCCAGGCTGAGTTCCGAAACGCCGCGGAACAAGCATGTGCCGCAACCCGATTGATGAACGTATTTCAACACAGGACAGCGGGTCACTGGCTAAGTGGCAGAGCATTGGACCGACAGTGTAACGGTCGTGCCCGACGACTTCCACCGTGTGCTCCACGGCGAGGTGCAGCTAGCACGGTGACTTGCGCGTGAGCTAGCTTATAGTGAGTGTGGATTTCCGCCGCACCTCCCCCCCCCCTCTGGGCCCGGTGTCAAGACAGAGTCAAGAAGACCGGAGGCGGGGAGGGCACAAATCGATGGCGTGGTCGAGCCCGCACCTTGACATTCCACTCCACACCGCCTGGTCTACACAACACTTGACCAGAACCTTAGCCAGCAACAGCACCCCGACAGGGGTCAGAAAGGCGAGGATGACCGGGCAACCATGCACACGCGACCTGTGTACCCAGCGGGAGCGCAAGCGCATCCACCTGCAGGGAACCTGGTGTCAGAGAACTATCAGTGTGCGCCAGGCTGCGAGGACCATGTTTTGCTGATCCTGGCGTAGTAGACGCTTGCGTACCTTTAAGAGCACTGGACTACATAACGCTTAAGGAACCGAGATAAAGAGAGTCCGCGTCCAAATCCCAGATTGAGTAGGGCTGACCAACAAGAACTAATTAGCCAGAAATGGCCGTACCGGTCTCCCTTGCCTTTGTTTGTACCGTTTCCTGAAACAAACAAATGTCGCTTAAAAATACTGACGCCACACTCAAAATTCTCAATTAAGACCAAGCCTTTCAGACGCCGTCTGCACTCCATGGTCATGTTGCTTGCTATACTTTTGATTGGGCAGATTTGGACGAAGGTGAAAGTTGATGCATAAACATGTCTAGTTCACAAGTGCAAGAAGGTTGAAAATCCAGGACTCCATGCGGTTTGTGCTGTTTCGCTTCCAAATTTCGCTCTGATGAAGTGGCTTCCGCGGTTATGCTGCGCCTCATTCTGTGAAGACTGGGAAAGTAGCAAAATCTAAAACGGAAAAGGGTTACTCGATGTTTCGGTTTAGAGGTAGGGTTAGTTTTAGGGTCTGGGTTAGTGTCAGGCTGAGAATTGAGGTTAGGGTTAGGGTTTGTGTCAAGTTTAAGGGTTCCGGTTAGAGTTAGGGTTCAGATTGCAGTTTGGGTTGGGGTTAAGGTTCGGGTTAGTGTTTGGGTTAGGGCTAAGGTTGGGGTTAGGATTTGGGTCAGGTTTAAGGTTAGGCTTAGGGTTTGGGTTAGGGTTGGTGGTAGATTTAAGGTAAGGTTTGGTTTTAAGTTTTAGGTTAGCGTCAGGTTTATAATTACGTTAAGGATTAGGTTTACTTTTGAGGCCACAGTTAGGTCTACCGTTGGGTTTTGGGTGTCGCTGCCCCGCGTGTCCTGTCGACCAGGTCTTTTGTGGAGGTTCTAGGCTTCCTTCAATCTTGCGGCAGAATTGTGATACGTCAGGTTGTTCTTTCCCGTTTCGGCTTCGGCTACTTTCTTCACTAACGATTTCAGCATCCCCCTTCGACTTGCTTTACTTTTGATGCCTACACTGCGCTTGCACTTGGGACCAGGGCAGCGTAACCGACCCTTGCCAGAACATCCTCTGATTCCTTCGGTGCTCTTTCTGACCTCTGTAGCATACCAACACACATGAGAATCCCTGTCAGTCCAGTACTTGAAGTCGCGCGAAATTCTGAACTCACGCCTTTCTTCCTAGTTTAGAACGTGCTTGTGATTTTGCTATGCATAAGTCATTCTCATCGTGCGTTTGTTGCCCGTGTGAGCCAGCTCACGCCGAAATCCACTCAGTCAGTTTTAGTGTGCTCTTTTGTACGCATTTCGGCTTTCAACATTCCTGCCATCCACATCCGACCGCAGACCTCCTCGTTAGCCCTGTCTGACGGTCCATTTTACGATATTTAATATGCCTGAAGCCGAATGCAAATCAAACGACGACTCCATTGATAGTTCGGACCGGAAGCTCGCCGAGGAGCGTGATTGATGCATCCGCAGTTTCATTTTATTAAGGGAAATATAGGCGAGCGCCTTTGAACCCCCTATTGGTTACAAGTCGTCGGAGAAAAAAATTGATAAGTGGGAAGGTGAAAAAGGGATTTTGTACATCATCTCGGACAGCCGACAGTCGAAAAAGAGTAATCGTTAACGGTTACTTACTAATTACAAGTAGTATAAACGTATATAAGTTGTGCCGTTATGTGGGTGGGTGTGAGACTGGTAGTTGGGATGCTTGATACCCGTCAGGTCTACACTTAAAGGAATTCACACAGGGGGAGAGTACAACATCTGTAGGTAGGGCATTCCACGCTGCAACCACTCTGTTACTGAAAAAGAACATTCGTCCATTGACCCTTCCTTTCCCTGTGCGTATTTTTAGGGGATGACCGCGCAAAGTGGGCGTGTTAGCTTGAGTGAAATAATCAGTGGGACCTAAACAGCAGGTTTACTATGGGAATAGAAACTATACTCAACCTACACCATCATGGAACTTAAGTTGGAAATGAGTCACGTCGACCTAATCTTTGCGACGTTTGTCTACTTATCGCGTAACTGAATCAACAATGATACCCCTAAAGCAAGACGAAATGCAGTAGTAATATAATGGTTCCACCCTCAAACGAGGCAAGTTACCAATTCGACTATTTACTTGCTTCGACCCCATATCTCCTCTCTCTCTCTCGTTACAGTTCAGTATATTTAAGGGTAGTAGACAACACCATGTAAGGCCCTTTTGAAAACTAACCTTTAGATGTTCAAGTCTAAAAACATGTTATTAAAACGTTATAAGTCAGATATACATTTTAAATAACATTATTTTTGGGGATGTGCGACTGCAGCCCACAGTGAAATACGAAGTGTCAGCCAACGGCACTATCAGTAGGTATTTGCAATACGCTGGTTTGATGCAACAGAACTTTCCCGTCCATTTGGACAATATTTTTCAAACAAATATACATCCAGACAACGTTTAAATGTCTCTACTGAGTCCACCACTTTTGCTTCCTCGGGAGGTCCGTTGCAGACATCGACAACTCGCAGAGATATTGAGCACCTGCAAACATGCAGGTAGAATCAAGCTCCTCTAAGTATGAAGGAGTTCCCACCTAGGTTTGTCGTCGTAGCCGATGCAAAGAAATCGTCGAGGTGCAGGGCACAGTCCTTATTATTCACAGCCCGGTAGGTTTATATGAGATCTCCTCAAGAGGAACTAGGTTAAGCGCATCAAGCCTGTATCTGTAAGGTAAAGTCCTTACACCCTTTTCGACGTTTGCTGCCTTCATCTGAACTCTTTCCAGCAACTCGTAGCCTTTTTAGCTACGGGAGCCGCGCCTGGATTCCGTATTCCAGTTGCGAACGATCAAACGCCCCGTAAACTTTATATATATCTATCGGTGAGCGCCCCCTCACATTATATATATATATATATATGAGAGAGAGAGAGAGTCATTTGAACGGTGAAGAGAACACCATTTGCCCCTTTTGCCGTCCTAAAGCATTGATAGGAGAGCTTCGGAGATGTCAGAATGGTGATTGCGAGGTATTTTTTGCTCAGTCACATTTGTCAGTCATAATTTCATCAAGGAGGTATTGATCATCATCTCCATTTGTTCTCGCCTTCTTCGTTTTGTACCGCATTTTGACATATTTCTCAAAATTAAACTTCACCAATAACGTAGGCAATTACGTTCTTCTTGAAGTGTTCATTCATCCGTTTTACGTTTGATGGCTGGTCGTATTTTGATTTCGTCTGCAAACATCACTCCTAGCGGTCAGGTTAATTCGCGCAGTCATCAACATAAATTACAAAACAGATAAGCCCATATCGGTGTTTCTGAACCTGCAGAACTCCAGACAGTCGGTGACCCTGATGTTTGGTTCTGGCTACATTGTGGCCTGGTTTGCGGTCGCTACAAGCCTCATCGCCGCCTGGTTGTTCATTTCCTCCACCTGCTGCTGGGCCGTCGATTTCGTCAACTGCCGTTCCGTTGCCGCTGCCTTTTATCCACCCTGTTCCCAGCGCCCCTCGCCGTTTGGACCGAATGGCACCCTGTATCCAGCCGCCTACAGCATGGACAGTCTTAGCAAAGTGAGCTAAATTTTCCGCTCGAGCATAGTTATACCAAATTACTTCATCAGCCTTTTTGCTTCGCACACTGATGTTGTTGTTGCTGTCGTCGTCGTCGTCGTCGTTTCAGTGGTCATTCATCGCTGTGATGCTGACAAAGTATTCGTCTGAATTCGCGGCTTTTACTAGCGAACGGCAATTCTCCAAGAGAGTTCCAAAATCGACTGTTGCATTTACCGGCCCCAGTTACATTTGAAGGTTTTATCTGGAAAAAATTTCCAATCTAACTTAGACGGTATATAGGTTCATAGTACCGGTTGCCTACCCCGACAAGTGCTTGTCTACCCCCCTATGTGGCGCTACCACAAGCCTTCAGTTCATCGACGGGGCTCCAGAACCCCACACGTCGTCTCCAGTTTACAGTAGCGCTCTAAACTTTCAGCCGTCACTGTCGAAATGTCATGAAGCAAAGTATTGTGACATGTTTCGTTGTTCTTGACCATGGTCTTTATGCTAACCTCTGAGCTGCACACTACCAACTCCAAATGCATAGACGTCTTACCTATAAATCGGCAGATCTAGCAGTAAGTGGCACAAGTATACGTCAAGGGTATACTGTACTTAGAAGTAGGGTGTATTTTCAACACGCGGCCCGAACCCCGTCAGCTGGCCAGGACTTCGACAGGACGTATTAACCAGTGGGTAAGATCGTATTATACGTTGATACTGTCGACGTACTTACTTGTTATCAGTAGGCGTATTTATCTTGTCTAGGGAATTTGGTATCGGTAGGTGTGCTTCTACTGAGTGCACACCTGTTTGGCATCCTCCTAAATACCGGCCAAAAAAAGGTATTTTGTGGAGTTGAAAACACTGTTGTGCGGTGTCCTCTACCAGTCGCAATCAGCGAAGCGGATCTATTCACACCTCTATTGTCTTCGATGGACCCAAAAAAGGGCAGTAGGACTCCTCAAAGTAATTACTTAGCGCAGATGACAGACAAACACTAGCCAGAACGAATGTTCTCGAAGACCTCACTTAGCCGTCTCTATACAACGTAGTTGACCTGTTAGATTCTGGCACAAAATCGGCAGACTTGGCAACCTACCGCAAACACTTAGAGTCCATTTGGACATATGAAACGACAAAAACGCAGGATTAAGATAGAGAGGAGAAGTGTATAAATGTCCAGTCGCCTCTCAGGTCCCTTTGCTGTCAATGCACGTTAAGGGCCCCCCCTTTGGGGCGTCTTGCCATTCGCAGAAACAATAGTATTAACGACAATAACACGACAACCACTGCGTCGAGGAACAGCTTTCGCAGCTCTCCAATCCGATAGACCCTGTAGAAAACTAATGAGTAAATGTTAAAGTCCAAAAACATGTTACTAAAACGTTGTCAGTAAGATGTACATTTTAAATAACATTATTCATGGGGATATGCGGCTGCAACCCACTGCAGTAGAGAAAACCGGCTTACCAATCACCGCGTCCTTTGCGACCACAGAGGTTCTTAGGGAGCTTAAAACGACAGGTTATTTCGCTCCGCCGTCCTTCAGAACTCCAATTCTCTATTTATCTCGCGCGCCTCACTTTGACGTTAATTCCAACGACCCGCAACCGTTTCTTTTTACACAACGGCAATCCGGACATCAACAGCCGTCTAAACGCCGCCTACCTCCCCATATGCCCCGCAATCAAGGCCACCCACTCACCATAAAAAGTACTCGGTCTCGTGGTAAAGGTTGGAGCTAGTTTCAGTTACAGTTTATTTGAGGGAAACATAGGTGATTAATATCTGAACTCCCTATTTGTTACAAGGATGCGAATTATGACAAAAATTTGAAAATGGAAACATCAAACAGCTACAGAAGTTTTTTTTAAATTGACAAGGTTTTCGAAACCAGACAGATAACGAATTGTTTCAAGTGTTAAAAACATTAACGTTACTAAATGTGCTGTAAAGTGGTCTGTTTGTGGTTAATTTGTGCTATCTCAGTTTCTGAGAGAGACGAATTGAATGCCAACACTCACATTCAGAGGACATGGGGCAGTAATAAAAAACAAACGTTACTGAAATACAGGCAGTAATATGATAACATTAATAAACTGTTGGGGATTCTCTGCATTCCGCTTACCGGCAGTGTTTAGAAAGGACGTGACCGGTCCTGTTCCCGTCTGACTTAGAATATCTCGAAGCGCATCGCATTACAGATGTAGGAAATGGCCGAACGTCAAGGTAACAGGGACAGAATCACTAAATGCAGTGTCTTATACGAGTCACACACAGCACTATTTTGCCCACATTTTCAGTAGGTCGCTACTCATCAACAAATTCGCAAACATACATTGCTTCAAATGGGACTTCCTCTTGATCACAGCCTGACATAGAAATTGCTAACTCTAATTGTGTTTAGTAGACTTTGTTGAATTTACTCGAGATATGAAAGCTCGTGAATACGCTGCTATGATAGATCTCCGGACACATAAATAAATCCATTATGGTCCTTTCCGACACTACTTATAAACATCGGGATATCGTGTTCATCATCTCCCGAAGAAGAAGAAGAAGACGAAGAAGAAGATGGGGCAAATTCATGGACCAGATTGTATCCGGACGGACGTTTCGGAAACTTCCTCTTTTCCATCATCAGAGTAGCGTGCTTGTTGCTTCTCCGGTTTTGAGTTGTTCAGTCTAGCCTCTTGCCTCGTATTATAGCCGTGCTCGATGCAATAACTTTGACCTGCCCATTTGCCGATTACTGGCTTTTACCTCCCCGGGGCTGACCGCTGACGGGTTTGCGTGGCCTTTGCTCTTTTTTCGGTCGGTGTAATTGTAGTCAAATTAATGTGCCTGATGGTCTCTCCCACGTCGGCCAGTGGACTGATCGGTCGTTGCTGTTCATGTGAGTAGCATTCAGCTTCGTGGGTGCATCGGTGAGACAGTGTTCGGCTTTGGTCACATGACCGCTGACCCCCAACTCCATTCTTTTCCGTGAGCGTTGACTCTCGGTTCCGCGTGCTCGCTTGCCTTATTGGTCCTGTCCGGACTGAACCAAGCCTTGTACGCAGCGCCGGGTAGGCGGAATGTATATCTATAGCTTAGTTGAGTGTGCCAGTCGAGGACCAACTTTCGAGCACCAGTTTGGCCATCTTCTCATTGGCTCGACCGATTACCCTCGCTTTCTCAAAGGCAAAGTTGTAGTTCAGCTCTTGTACGTGGCCAGAGACCAAGGACAACTTGGCCTTGCGGTTGATTGTAAGTTGGTGTTCGTGCAACCTTGTATCGAGGCGTTTGCCCGTTTCGTCATAATACCTCGCACTGCAATTTAGGCATGGTATGCTGTAGATCACCGCTGCTTGTTGTGTTGTTGGTGGCGGGTCTTTGCGCTTCGTGATTTACTGCCTGATGGTGCATTCTGGTCTATAAGCCACGTCAATCCCAAAAGGTCTCGGGATTCTCGCCGCCGCCTCTGATACGTTCTTTACATAGGGTATTGGGAGCCAGAACTTCAGCTTTTCTCCACGTCAGGATATATATATATAAGATGCTACAAAAATAGCAGTTCCACGGTCTCACTGGGTGATCCCTTGCGCAATTTTTGATAAACAGAGTGGCAGCTCTTCTAAGATGGTCGAAGCATAAAAGGCTATTGAGTACTGCCTATCCTGATAAGTTGCAGTCTCCTTAAACTCCGATGCAGACTTCCGAGACTGAGTCAATTAGCTTCCCCGATGCACACACCCAGAGGCTCTATCCTCTCCGAATGCAGGAGAAAGAGCAAGGGTATGGTCCACGGCCGGGGTTACTTACGCCGGATAGCAAGTGGAATAAAAGAAAATAACAGACGATACTTATTTGTGTGTGCCAGAGAAAGAAATAAAAAGATCTCACGGTGGCCGTTGTGTGAGGGTGATCAAGATGTCTTAAAGTAGTCCCCGGAGTAAAAATAAAACAGTGCAATAACTCTTTTGACAATGCCTGCAAATGGGCATTAAATTCATTTACTATTATCATTAGGTGGTAAAAACAGTGTCCACTTGTAATTGGTGACCAAATGGAGGGTCGGGATTTGTGATGTCACTAGGTTCTTTGATTTTCGGCTCTCTTGCTTCCCGGCCATAAGCCATACCTCTGCTCAGGAAACTGATACTGTGCCAGGCCTGTTAATTAAAGATGCCATTCATTTCCCTTTCCCCCAAACACCTCACATGAAATTAAAGTTTTCTCGATAACTCTTCGGTTTAATAAGGATGAAATCTACACTGCTTTTTACTGTCGTCATTCTGCTGAGATAATCAGTACTGCAACACTTCTTTCTGACTCACTCTGTCCTAGTGGTCAATCCAAGATCCTCCGACGCTCCCACGATTCAAAACGGCTACCTACGGAGATGGACATGAGATTCGGGATCCAACTTCAACAACCGCTCCAGAATAACAGCGGTTATTGTAACGGCCATCTTTTGAACGGTCTCTTCAAGAGATCTCGTCCACTGTTCTTCCCACAGTTTCTGCTCCTCACACATTCTTTTACTGCATCAATTTACTTCTCTGTCAACCCCAATTCGAATTCCCCTAGGTCAAGTACTCGCTGTTGTCTGATTGGCAGACACTCTTCGACTTATTCTATTTTATCTAACTTGATACAGTACCTCCTCTCCAAGGACATTGACTGATTTGCAAAATTCGTGCTTGCGACCCATTGCTTTAAATATGCCTCTCAATTTGAGGACGTTTGCTGTTACAGTGTGTCTAGGTTACTAAAAGTTTTCGGTTTCGGACTTCTGCTTGGGTCTTCTCAACGTGTCTAGGGTAGGTCAACTTGTCTAAGAAGAAAACTTGAGATTTGCCTGTCCACATTACGACCGCCAACCGTGATTAGGAGGGCATTTGATGACTAGTTCTTTGCGGGGAGAATGATATTTTCTGCGAAAAGAAAAAACCAGCCATAGTTCAGCAAAGGACGAAGAAGATTTTTATGGAAGAAAGGAGGACTAGTTAGCGTTTTCTAAGGTACGCTTATCAAACGCCAACCCAACTACTGATCAGTCTCTTTATGTGGATATTAAGGATTGACAATTGACTACGGGGACTATGCTTAGCTCGTTGCAAGGGCTGAGGTCAAAGACCGCAGGTCGAGGCGAATGCAAACATAACTTTGATGTCAACTTTTTCATGGCGCAGCCGACTTGCATCTCATCCACCCCGCACGTTCTCTGCACACTCATCGCGTTGCAATGTCAAAAAGAAACCAAAGCGTCTAACGTTGGATGTGGGCTGAATGGACGGTGGAGCTTCTGCCAACTACTGCCACCAAAGCCGTCTTCAGTCGTCTTAACATTGTCCTGCGATCGTAGCCTGATAGGTGAGGTAGGGGGGAGCGTGACAGATGTTACGCAAGTCTGTCTCACTGCAAACCAATCCACGCGCAATTTATCGTCCTGCACCCGCTCCGTGGCCCACACTGTAGACGTCGTCTTTTGCGAGAGTCGAACTGTGGCAGTCAGGAAGGTGTTGACTTATCATAAAGACAGATACCTCCGGAACAGCCTCACGCTGTCCTAATCGCAAGTGCAGCAATTACCCACTCAGGTCTCTTGGTAGATGGACGGTAGGATAATTCGTTGTGGCCATCGTGGAGTAAAGCCTGTGTCTACCGCGTGCCTTACGCATGTGCGGCAGAAGTTAGGAGCGAAGTCTGACTGTTCATGGCCACTGCCCTGCTGTATTGTGCGTCTTTGCTGTTTCGCAAGTCTCACCCTTCATTTCAATTAAGTGTTATTAAGGGCAATATAGGCAAGCGCCTTTGAACTGCCTATTGGCTCCAGATCGTCCGAGAACAGCGCCGATATGTGGAAAGTTGAGGAAGAGATACTGTACATAATTGCAGGCAGATGTCAGATACTCGAAAAGACTAATCATTAACAGGTACTCACTAATTACAAGTAGTATACACGCATATAAGTTGTGCCGTCGTGTGAGTGGACTTGAGGCTGGTAGTTGGGAAGCTTGCTACGCGTCGAGTCTACACTTAAAGGAATCCACACAGGAGGAGAGTAAAACATCAGTAGGCGGGGCATCCCACGCAGCAAGCACACTGGTACTGAAAAACAAGTTTCGCCCACTGATCCCTGCTTACCTACGCGTAGTTTTAGGAGATGACCACGCAAAGTGTGCCTGTTCGCTGGAGTGACGTAAACACTGGGAGCTAACCAACAGTCTAGACCGCTGATAATACGAAATGTTAGTATATGGTCACCACCTAGTGGTCTGTAAGAAAGGGGAAACAGGTTAAGAGTTGACAGTCTGGCTTCATAGGGCAGTGCCCCCAGACCTTGTGTCATTTTGGTCGCCCGTCTCTGGACCTTCTACAAGACGGTCTCTAATTAAAACGCTTCTTCGTGCAGTCAATGTCAGTTCAGTTCAGTTTATTTGAGGGAAATTAGGTGTGTGCCTTTGAAATTCCTATTCGTTACACCCAGAGGAAACATATGAAAAAAGTGGAAAAAGAGCAACATGAAAGACATATAAGGGGAATATCAAAAACTGTACAGATGACCACATTATTCCATGCGTTAGCAATGTTTGAAGGCATATAAACTCGGTTTGTTGATCAAATAAAGTAGACATTTGGAGAGCACCAAAGTAATAGGAAAAGTAATTAGACTTTTTTCTGCAAGCATTTTGGCGAATGCAAGCAGCGCTGTGCGTCGTGGCTCAAAAATTAATAAATTACATGAACAGATGTTACGTAAATGTTGGTAGTAGCGTCATTGTATCCTTAAATTTTTCGTGTCGACTATCAAGACAGCTGCGGTCGGGCGGCATTGAGATGCTCACCCCAATGTTGATCCAGTCTCCGTTTAAAAGTTTCTACGGATCCCGACATAACAACGCCCTCGAGTAAAGCATTCCAAGCTTCAACCACTCCGTTATAGAAGAAGAACTTTTGTGTGTCTAGCCGGGCACCAGCCCCACGCAGTTTGGGAGGATGACCTCTCAAGTCAGTCGTAGTCGCCAACTCGAAGAAGTCTCCGGATACGATAAAGAGGACCTGATTGTGCACGATGCGGAAAGCTTGTATTAGATCACCTCGTAGGCGTCTGTGACTCAAAGGAAGGAAATCAAAATTAGTCAATCGCGTTTCACGGGATAGTGACCCCTGTCCAGTTACAAGCTTCGTCGCCCCCCGTTGAACTTTTTCGAGTATGCTAAGGTCTTTAGCGGTCCAGGGTCTCCATGCTTGATTAGCAAACTAAATATGCGGCCGCACAAAGTTCGGAAGACCTTGCCGAAGTAGGCCTCATCAAAGGAAGAACACGCCCGTTTGACGAGATGTAGGATAGACATCGCGACTTGGCTACATTTGAGCAGTGGAGCGAAAGCTTGAGCGAGGTTGTGATCCACACATCCAAGTCTTTCTGGGCGTCGAATTCTTTTAATGGTTTCCCAGTCATGTGGTAAACCATGCGGTTAGGAGAAGCGGTTCTGCCGTTTACGTTAAACGGCAAGAGCCAGTCGTTTGGCTATTGCTCGAGGCGGTCTAGATTTGTCTGCAATCGCGCTTCGTCAGCTTCATCTCGCATGGCACTCCAGATAATTATGTCATCAGCAAACATTACCACATCGCAATCCAGTTTGTTTGCACAGTTGTTGACGTATATAATGAATAGAGTAGGGCCAAGAACGGATCCTTGGGGAACACCACTCCTAACGACATGCTCGGTAGACTGCTGGTCACTGACGTGGACAGCTTGAGACCGGCCGAGTCAAAAGCTTCGAATCCACATCAGAAGCTTACCTCGCACTCCTGCATGGCTGAGTGTGCATAGAAGGCGATGGTGAGGCCCACTGTCGAAAGCCTTCTAGAAGTCGATATAGACCGCATGCACTATATGTCCTCTATCGACTGCCCGAGTCCACTGTCCCAGACAGTGTTCCAGCAAGTTTGTCACACAGAACCTGCCTTTTCGAAATCCATGCTGCAAATTGGAAAGTAGATGGTTTTGTCCAAGGAAATGCATCAATTGTTGTTTGATTATTTTCTCCATAATCTTGCAGCTGATGGAGGTGAGGCTGACCTGTCTGTAACTGTTCGACAGATTTCACGAAATATTAACCGGAATTCTGAAATGCCTTTTCGTTTAGGAAGGATTGCTTAAATGAGGTCAAACTATTAATTATCGTGCGCATAATTCCAGGATATATTTTTCACGCCAGGGTGTCGGCTTTTGAAGGCATTCTTTTCGATCACTTATACAAACTACACTCGCTAAAAATCCCCGTGCCCTATATGATGTCTCCTTAAGGGGTTAGAGAAATATGCAGTTTTCCATATACAGAATGCGTAAATCTTGTAGACTGAAAATCCTCAGAAAAAATCCGTGCTGAGCAGCAGACGCCATTTTCCTCCGATCCTGAAATACCCCTTAATAAGTTGTTCCACAACCTTTTAGGAGATGTGGGTTAAACTAAAAGGGCGGTGAGTTTCGGATTCTAACCAGGAAAATAAGAGCAGTTTTCCATTCCTCCGGCAGTTTGCCTTCTTCCATGGACATTGAAATATCATAGGTACCGGTTCCCACAGTACGCCGGCCAATTGTCGAATAGTAAGTGGATGAATTCTATCCGGACCAAGTGATTGGGCAGGCTTTAATTGGAGTAGCTCTGTCCTTGCCAAGTAAGGCGAAGAGTAAATATTGTCTTCTAATACAGACGATGCACAATTTTGTTGTTATCGTAGAATAACTTTGGATTCTCTACGGCACGAACCAGCAGGTCCGTTTCTGAAATCTTGTAGTGGTCTGAGGATAAATCGCCTGCGTAGTTCTCCCTGCACTATGTAAGTATTTAGTGACGCAACAAGAGATTCCCCCTGCAACCTCTGTTTTCTGTTCACTTCTCCTTTCAAGACCTGCATCAGCCATTGAGGTCTGTTTTCAGCCTCTTTCCAGAGATCGGACAATGGCTTCAGGGCGAGAAAGTTCACTAACTCACTGAACCCTTCTCACACCTCGGCTACGTTGTCGAAGTCATTGCGCCAAATATTCCTTCCAACTTTGGTGGGATGTGCGGACGCCTAGAGGATGGAATGTTTCCAGACATGATCGCTTCAATCTAGGGGAGATAGACCTTGGATCTCATCAGTGCTGTTAAGCGATTTCGTGAGCACTAGATTCTCACCATTTAACTGCTACTCCAAACTCAACCTCGTCGGAGACAAGACGAGCTGAATGATCGTTATGTCTAATAAACCCTGGTCGAAGGCTAGTTCTGGGCCGAGTGCTTAAACTGAACTTTAGTCGATACGTGTGGTACGTTATAGCCACCCGCCATCAAGTTGTCAGGCCGAGTAACAAAACATTTTGGCTCCTCTATCAGATAAAGAACAGTCTCGGGATCGCTTCTTGGCGATCGATAGATTATCAGAGCTAGGAG